CCTACCACCCCCCCCCCCCCCCCCCCCCCCCCTCCAAATGTTGATCCCCTAAAACTAGGTTGTGGCTTATAATGCAGATATTGTTTTTGATGGTGAGACAATCAGTCTTTGTCACGGTTGATTAGAAATTGTTGCTTTGCGGCTTTTGACGCAGAGAAGCGATGCAGATATTTCATTAATAGTGATTATACAAATAGTTGGTCCATAGAAGTATGGATGGTTGAAACTGTATGAAATAACACGAGGTGAAATGACTGCGTAAAAGGTCACATTTCCGATGTTTTAGGACTGGAGTGACTTGAACATGTACAGGGATAAAATACGACTCGGCTTTAGCAGTAGCCGCTTACGGCTGGCACACAGAATAATCTGCACAGGCAAAGTTCATCATCTTTGGAGAGCACAGGGTGTAAAGGTCATCAGTTATCCTCATTCCAGAAAAATACCCGTGGCCTAACGAGCATGAGCAGTAGTCCAGTGGTTTACTACAGTTAATATCTTTTGAGATTAAAAATTGTTTAAATCTGACAGGTACTTGGGAGAAAGGTAATTTAAAACTTAGATGTGGCTTATTAATGAGATTTTATCTATTTTTTTATTTTATTCTTATTCAGGCACAGCTTATATTTGAACGTCATACTTTTTGCTAAGCAGGTAGAAAATTAAAAATTTATGATGTATTCCTTCCACTGTACTTTTTATTAATGACGTCTCGGCATCGTGTGCCGCGTGTACGTGCAGTGACAAGCTGATCTCATGTGTCATCAGTTGAAGAAAGTCTTTTGAACTGGCGTTTTTACAAGGATGAAGGGAAGACTGCGTTTTATAGACACAGGCTGAAATAAAGATCTGGTGCCCTTATATATAGGGCCAAGGAATTAATAGAGCTTGCTGTTGTACTCGCAGTGTACATGCAGCGACAAGCTGGTCTGTTGTAGGTCACCCTCTTGGCTCTGACTGATGCTCTGTCCAGGCAGTACCACCCTGTTATAGCCAGGTTAGCCTCAGAGGGGACCCAGAAGACAGCGAGGCCATGGCCTCACTCCAACTTTATTTTGAAAAACGTACAAAATAGCTCCTGAAGGAGCTGATAATGCCTTAGGGTTGCCCCTGCCGTCTCAGCAGATTGATATTTCGCTGGTCCTGGTAGAAGGACTGATGAACGCGAAAAACAGGTTGAGTGTCTGCACGCGCTCACACACACCACAATGGAGGATGGGTAGCGTCCAAGTAGAGCTTTTGAGATTGGAGTGGCATCTGAAGGTGGCTTGGCAGCCGAAGAATGTCACGCCGGTCCAACCAGGAAGACCAGTAGATGTCTCGATGAAGGATGTGGGCGGCTGCAAATAATGGCCATCCCATCACCCAGGCTAACCGTGTCGCATATCCAGTGTGTTGAAGGTTCTGAGTGGTCCCACACATTACCCAAGAAATGAATTTATGAATACTCTGTGGGCACTGTGATTGTCACTTGTCTCATCTTGTGCGTCCCTTTCTGAACTTTGCCTGTAGTAGCATTGCATCTTTAGTGAAATACCAAATGTTGTATAGATGGACATTATGGTAGTCACTTGGTTTCATGAAGTGTTTTCCCAGGTGTGAAAGTCTTACTTTACTAAGCTCTTGCAGTTACGTAAAATGTGAGATTGTCTCTTCTTTCGTGTGACATCTGTCACGAGTTGTGCTCTCTGCCAGTCCCAGTTTGAACAGATGTCGCTTTAAATTATAGTGCCCTGTTGATAGTCCTGTCTCCTGATCAGTGTGTAGAACTTGTGGCAGAAGGTTCTTGGAATAAATAAATTCTTTGCGTTCTTTTGTTTAGGTATGAACTTTGTCAGTCCCTGATGACCCACTTATTTGTTTTTTCTGAGAAAAACTGACGGAGAAGAAACCAAGAGACTCAGAAATATGGCCTTGAGAGCATTGAGTAATTTGTTTCATTAGTCTCCATCAAATAACTCAAAAGAGTTAAACACAAAATACGTAACTCAATTTAACGAGTTTAACATTTACGTCATGTTTCACTGATCCGTATTTTTTGCAGGTTATCCTGAATATGATGGAGGAGCTCCACTTTCTGAATTTGAAGTTGAAATGACAAGTCCAAACTCCAGCCGGCAGCAGACGTACAGAGGGAAAGATGCTGAATGCATAGTTTCAAATCTGTGTCCTGGACAAACCTACGTCTTCCAAGTCAGGGCATTTAATAGGGTTGGGGTAAGTATCAGCTGGTTTGGCCTACTTGCTGCAGTTAACATTGTGTCCTGCAAATCAAATTGCGTTGCATGTTTGGACTCAAAGACATTTTTAAGAAATGTGCACAAACTACTGAACTGATTTCAGTATAGTTGAAATGTCGTATCTATTCCTGCTTTCGCATGGTTTGTGTTGCAACAAAAGAATTTTTGTAAATCTTCTTTACCTGAAATATGATCTTTTAGTTATAACATACAAGTAAAAGTACACTATACGCCATGTAGGCGCTTGGTGGGAGAGGAGGTATAGTCGCTACTCATTCTTGACCTTCGTACTGGAAGGGGGCGAGTGGTCATCATCACGTCCCAGTCGCGCTTTACACCCCAAGAAGGACCCCGGCTATTGGTTGGTTGGTTAATGCGCAGCATGCGTTGCAGTAATGCAGTATTTCCATACCAAGACGAGCACAAGAGGCTTTAGTAGGTTGTGCAGGACCGCGTAGCGTAAATAATTCACAAAGGCATTGGGCAGTCTTTCTGGTGGATTTCTGCAATTTTGATTTTATTTGTTACATATTTCTGTGGTAATGGGAATGGTAAACATAGGGGGGCAACTGCTGCACACATGCCTTTTGAGTAAAATGTATTTGAACGTCCAAACTGCAGACCAGTTTTAGTAATAAAAAACAGTTGGTTGGATGTGCCAGTAATTCTAGTTCACACAAAGGTGAGCTTTGCTTGTGGGTGAAGCTAAGAAGCTACATTAATTCAAGGAAACAGCGAGTACAGATTTACCAATTATTCATTCTTTTCGTGAATGCATCATGGACTGGTTGTGTCCATCCGTCCGTCCAGCCGATTCAGTGAAATTCGGTATGGAGTTTGTGCTGTTCTGTATGACCTCAGAATTGTAATTTTTAATGTCCTACAAGTGACAATAATAAAATGACGGATAAGGAAAGTTTTGCGTTAGATGATGGTCGAATTTTTATGAAATATTTGCCACGTACTGAAACTGAATTAATTCAGACTTTGTGCCTTGGAGTGATTGCCATAAAATTTATATGTACAGAGGAAGCCTTCTCCAGTAGCAATATTGCTGTTTTGTGTTGTTTATGAAGTGTAAAAGGTGTGGCTTATGGTAAGACCATCTACCATAAACATATCATATAAAACATTTGTTTCCTGTCTCCAGTGACATTTTAAAAGTTGTTATAATGTAAAACAGAAAAGAGTCTCGGATCAGTAAGGACGGACAACAGAATCAAGTGGATTACTGACTGAATAAAACAGGTACAGTATAATCTGAACAGTCTGGTTATGTATGCTGGCTCTAAAGTGATAAGCAACATATTATCCTTGTAAATTGACTTTTTTAGGTCACTAATTCCCAACACTGGCCAGAATATAGCGTTAATGAGGTAGGAAGCCCAGGTTAGGGAATGGTCGGTGGTTTGCTTGGGATTTGCTGAAATTTGAATTACTTGTGCGTACCATTCAGAAGACTGTGCATATAACGTAAAACAGTATTTAACACAACCTTTGAGTCTTACAACTAAAAATTCTGTTGCAGTGAGGGACAAAAATATGATTCCTTTTGATGATGTTAATCCATTCTCTATAAAACAGCTGATTATGATGACCGGTGATCACATCACGTAGTTCCTACTTAAAATATCTGTATAGGACTTCCAACATTGAATGCTTACTAGTACATTTAATTTTCCTACAAGAAGTGGCAGGACAGTACAGTACTCTTTATCCTTCATTGTTAAATTTATTTATGCTACATTAAACTGGCACACGTTACATTCAGGAAAACCATGAAGAATCTCAGATTATCTTTCCTGGAATCGGTAGATGCCATGAAAGTAACTTGCTATTTGTGTTGTAATACTAAGAGTAGATTCCTATCATTGTCATACAACAATATGCATTTTTCAGCCTGGTCCATGGTCTGACAGCCTAGAGGTGATGAGTGGGGCCGCACCTCCCGACACCCCCCGTGAACCCGCGGTTATATGTCGGTCCTCCCACCACGCCGTTGTTCACTGGGATGAGCCTTCCAGCAATGGAGCACCAATCACAGAGTACCGGCTTGAGATGAGTATGGCGGACAGAGAACCGGATTACACCACAGTATTCCATGGCCTGAATAACTCGCATGAAATTAAAGGCCTAAGCGCAGCGACTCCGTACTATTTTCGGATACAGGTATGAGCGTCGCGACTCATTTGTGATTTCATCGTACTTAGTTGGCTTCAGATCATGAACTGATGCTGTTGTCCATAATATGCATTACTAGTTACAGATGTAATAGCATTCCTTATTCAACCCGCTGGTATACCAGAAAACCAACAGTTGTACACAAAATAAAGTTGTGAAATGAATGGCATAGAATGAGAATTGTTTCAATCCTCATCACAAATAAGCCATGTGCCCCAGTTTTTGTTCACATTATTTTGAGAAAAATGCATAGAGGATATTTCAGAAAATACAGGAAGTGCAGATGAAATTTGGGGAATGCACGCTGACATTGAGTTCAGAACCTTTCGTCTTTCTATCTCCTAAACTGTAATTTACCCATTGTTTTGTATGTGTATGAAACTTTTTCTCTTTACCTGAAGGAAGGATGAATTTAGTGTAGAACAGGGTGCTAAGAAAAGTATTAGGACCTGAGAGGGTAGTAGAGAAAATAGCATAATGGAGGGACCAGATATTTACACAGTGATCAAATCAAGGAGGATGAGATGGTCAGGGAATGTAGCATTCACGGGAGACATGAGAAATGCGTGCAAAATGTTGGTCAGAAATTTGTAAGGAAAGAGACCATACGGAAGACCAAGGCATGGCAATGAACTGAGCGCATTCCAGGAATGTAAATGTGAGGTTAGGTTGGGTTGTGACCAGATGGTTCCGTCACAGACTGGAGTATGTACTTTCTAAGTTGGCATTACCATTGTTGAAATGAGTTGGTCAGTTGACAAAAGTCCTGACTTGCTGTACGTAAACTCATATTCTGAGATGAAAAAAGTAAAATTGTAGCCATGATTTTTTTCTTCTTAATTTAACTTATGATTTTTGCACATCCTGAAATTTTCTCAATCTGCAGAAAATTATAAATAAAGGATGTCTCAAGCTAAAAAGGTCATCACACAAGGCTGTTCCGTAAAAGAGTGACATTCTCTTGACTCTCATTCATGTAATTAGTTGTTCATGTAATTTATTGACTGCCAAATCTGAACAAATCTTGGTACACTTGTAATGTCTGTTCTGTACAGGCTTGTAACAGTGCTGGCTGGAGTGGAGTCTCGGCCACATGTCAAACCATTACGCCTCCCTCCTCGCCTGCAGCCGTGTGTTTGCCTCGTTACGTAGCCACGCCAACGACCTTAAAGCTGTCTTGGCAGGAGCCAGCCTGCCATGGAGCTGATATTCTCCATTATAATATTGACATGAGTGACCATGTCAAATCTACCAGTGGACCAGCAGTGGAGCACGCACTGGAAGGCCTAATTCCAGACACAACTTACAGGTCATTACATTTCTTTATAAGCATAATGAATAAGATTCATGTCGTTAAATAAAGCTAATTATGAATCTTAGTTTACTATATTGAAATTTAGGGTGTAAGTAGGACTGAAATGTAGTGTCCCAAATCCCCAGCCACAGTCTGTAATTAATTCAATTTGTATATAACAATATTGGAAACATGCGCACGTGCACACGCATTCTCCCCCTATGCCATGTTGACCGTCATTCTTCTATTGCAAAAAAGCTACTTCTGCATATACTGAAAAATTTCCTTGCTATTATTAAATGGACATCATAACAGTATTTTAAAATAAAGCTATAGGACCTCTATTTTACTTTATATACATGTTTTATGGCAATATGTTTTCAAGAAAAGTGATTCAGTTCAGTTTGAGCTTTATATTACAGACCGGAGCAATACGGATCAAAATTAAATTTGCAGAACTTTTGGTTTGTTCTCCATTTACTAAATTTAATTCACTCTATATAAATTTTTGGAAAGAGAGAGACGACCTCCCCTCACTTGTAATTTTATGCGCTTTGTACGTAGGACACTAGAAATATTCATTGGCATTCGCTTGTTGAAACAGATTCTGTACCTGGATCGCCAGTGTAGTTGCCAGGAATTGTCATTGTGTTTTTTTCTGTTGAAGCTTTCATGTCATTTCTGAAATTGTCAAATATATCTTTTTCTTTTAAAGTTTCCTTGTCACCAGAAGTGTTGTGATAATTTCACTCTGGAAATATTTGTAATAGTTGATACCCACATGAACGAGTGGAATTCACACTGTTAATTTTTGTTTAATATATATATATATTATTTTCTCGGAATGTGAAGTGTGTCCACTTTATTCCTTACCACAAACAATTGGACTGCCAGAACTAGAGAATGTATGGACATAAGAGATATTAACTAAGAGAATAATGGATAGTTACATAACATAAAGCTCTATAATTTATATATTGTATGTAGTATTATAAAAGTGACCAGAGTGGAGATGGTGGGTGGTCGGACCAGCTTTGAATCTTGGAACCGGTCCTGGAGCTTTAGAACTTGCTTGTAGGGAAGAAGGTGATTAAACCAAGGAAGTTTACTGGCCATGTAAAATTGGTTGGAAGATCTATTTGGCAGGTGCTGCTTGGAGGGTGAGACAGTATTAAAGCAGATCTATATAGCATTACAATCCACATATCCAGTGATTAGATCCAAAAACAAAATTTATGTATATTTTATCAAAGTATGTGTTTGTTTTAATCAGTGTGGAAGTATGATGTTTAACGTCCACTTTAGGCTTAAGGTTTATGTGAAAATTCTCTGGCGCCACAGTTAAAGTGCAACCACGAATATTTAAGAAATACTGATTTTGTCTAATATGGTGGTTCCTGTTTTTCCAGACTACTTGAAAATTGCTGAGAGTTTTGGCAGGCAAATTAATGATTTTTACCTTCTTGCCTAGGAATTGTAATGTGCTAAGCTACAGATGCTGAAGATGAAAGTAAAAGAGTTGATACTGTACTTAATTTATTCAGTAAGCACCTTGGAACTTAGTACTCCTTGTTTATATATCTTTATTGAGTGTTTTTCCTTCTTCATTTTGCAATCCCACCACCTGAATGAAGCTCGTGGTCCTCTGGTCTAATATGTTTGAATCTTAATATTAGTAGTAGTAGGCTGCTACAAATGACATGAATATAATTTGTTTTTTTAATAGACTGCGAGTGCAGGCAGTGAACAACGTGGGACCAGGACCGTTTTCACCCATCTTGCGTGCAACAACCTTGCCACTCCCTCCGGCCCCACCCAAACTTGAATGTGCTGGTGTGGGGCACAACTACCTGAAGCTCAAGTGGGGCGATGGCAAGAACCCCAATTTCAACCAGTACATGGTCGAATCAGAGAATACGTGGACGAAAGAGTAAGTTATTTATTTAAAAACAAATATCTTCCTTGCTACAGTAAAATCGTTGTATAACAAAATTTAATAGAAAGTTCCCAGAAATTTGAGTTACCCAAAGGAACCATATTCAGAATCTTGCAATAAAGTAAATAGAATTGCCATGTTTTTAGGCAGGAAATCAAAATGTGAACATCAAGTATATTGTTTGCTGTAGTTATTTTGTGTATAATTAATCGAAGTAAAAGGACGCTTCATCTAAAAGGGCCGTCAGCTCAGGGTTAATCACGTGCACCATTGTGAACGGACTGAAGATTCCAGTTATGGAAATAAAGTCTAGCTACTGGATCATGCCTACAGCAGTGATTTTGTAAGGCTGGAGGAGTCGCTCTAGCTTTGTACAGGTTTCGCATCCCTTTCGATACTCCCATCTCTTGCGCTCGTCCTGTAAGGCGCTTACAAGATGAATTTTCGAGCCAAGATCTGATATCATTAAACATCTTATCTTAATTCTCTACTTTGATTTTAGTTTTCTGCTCGTTGTTGCTTTATTGATAATTGTGAACGCTGTTTCTGTGGGGAACTAGAATCCCAGAAAACTTCCTCCGGAATTTTCTCCGATACCGCCTCGCAGGCCTATACTTACTGTAAGATCAAGGCTAAAACACTAGACGCTGCAGTGTCAACACAAAAAGAATATTGCACAGCAATAAATCAAACATGAATATGGCAAGGTAATATAGTTCAACTTTTCTCGTGTCTGCTACTAACTCATAGTGACTTGTAACCGATGTAGTGACCGCAAATAGCAGAAAGGCTGCCAATTATTCCCCCTCTAAGTACAGTAAACCACTGTCCACTTTATGGTTATCCAACTCGTATTTACTTATTCATGCAAAACAAATTATGTAAATAGTTACTTACCGAATGCTGCAGGGTTCTGCACTCCCACCACTTTTTGTCTCGCTGTTGCTCGCGTGGCATCAAAACACGAAGCATCTTAAATTGGTAGGAAGAAAACAAAAGTCACAAGGTGAAACAAATTAAGATTCTGGGTAAGTTGCATGATAGTATTCTTATTTCATATATGCTATGTGTAGGGCCGTTCATTTGTGTATGTTTGCACACACGCGCAAAACATCTGTGGACCTAGTTACTGATGGTAAACTTTAAATGAAGTTTGTCCAACACATATTTACCCAACATTTTGTTCTCAAATAAACTAACCCACACGTTAAACAAGTGTTCACTACGCTTCGACGCGAAGGAGCAATTTCTTTTGCTTATGGGACCCGTTCGTTCATTCATCGTCTGCTCTGTCTCATTTATTTTAGCTTTTTTATTTTTTTCTTCCAGATTTCAGTGTGTGTACCAAGGCACAAGTCATACCTGTAAAGTAAATCGTCTGCAAGAAATGACGATGTATAGGTTCCGAATTGCAGCAGCTAATGGTGCGGGGCAGGGACATTATTCTGAGATCTATGAATTCAGCACCTGCATTGCACCACCTCCCTCTCTAAAAGGTATTCTGCTGTTTTATCACTTTATTTTGAACCTAAAGTCTATCACCACAAAATCTCGCCAGTGAATTGAGCCCCGAAACTTAAGCAATCCATTTCATTCTGCTAAAGTATTTTACTGTTAGCAGAGAAAAATAAGTCTGTCGCGCATGTGTGTGTAGTTTTTAATCGTGAAATAATATGCATAGCATTGTGACATCACATTTTTGACATCGGCAAGGTGCACGATTGCAATTAACATGGAGATGACATTGCCCATACTGAAAGCTGGTTTCTGGCATTTATGTTATCAGTGTTGGTTTTTCATGACCAATCGCATCATATACCTCTGATTACATGTTACAATGCCACAACAGTGCCGTTCATTGTACATCATGAAATGTCTGTGTATAATGAATGACCAGTCCCTTGTCATCTTGTGAGATTTCGTACTTTGCATCTGAATGTCCCTATCTCTCTTGAAATATGCAGTATCATCTCTATCTTCCACATAAGCATAGCAGATCACATGACATGGCATATATTTGCAGCATAAGATTTATCAAGTATGTACTTATCACTAAATGCATGGATATTTGCTTTGTATGTTTTGAAGTCCTATTATGATACGCAGGTAGCCCTCGATTTATGCCGAGGATGCGTTCCTGGACGAGCCGGCGTAAATGGAATCTGCTTAAATTGAAACTCTTTTATAATGTAAATCAATGGGAAGTCAATTACATGCGTTCCCAGCACCCAAACATTGGCGAGTAATATAATGGCGTTACATTTAAAGATCTGAAATAACGTAAATAAAATAAAGGGAATTTAAAAAATATATTTTATGCACTTACAATCGGCAATTTGTTGGTTCCCGCGATTGACTGCGGTTCTTTCGTGTGATTGATGTGTACAGTCATCTCTGCTGTTATGCAATGGTTGCATTCATGTAAGACGCTGACCTACAGAAAATCGCGTAGTAAAATAACCCCGGTACCTCCGCAGAGATTAAATTAGTCCTTTGAAAGTTTAAAGCGCCAGGAATGAAATTGCATAAGAGCAAATTGCATTTCACAAACAGCTTTTACCAATTCATCGATCTCATTGGAGCAAATTCACGTTAACGAAACATACGTAATTGCAGAGATGACTGTATTTATAATTTTTATTCAAAATCAGCGATGTAAGAATTACGATTTAGTATAAGAATCAGTGCAAGATGCATTGTAAAAGTTATAAATAATAGTAAAACATATTTTTTTCACTTTTTGATTTGCTGGTTTCAAAATCGGCGTTATTCTGAACCGGCGCAAATCGAGGGCTACTTGTATAGGGGTCCGCGTGATCTGAGGCGTGGGCCTTGCGCTGCTTGGACACTGGAACCGTGGGTTCGAATCCCACTCAAGCCATAAATGTCTGTCCGCGTTTTTCTGTGTTGTACTGTCCTGTGTACAAGTAGAGGCCCAGTATCCCAGTATTATGATATATCATTATAGGACTGTATTAAGGGACACCAGTCATGCGGGGGGGGGGGCACATCTTGTTTTGTGGATCATTGATTTAATGACATCATCCACATTGTTCATAGTCTTCCAGTCGGCCACCTTCCAAGAGTTTCGTACCAGCTTTTTATGTTTCTTCCTTCTTATCGTTAAGCTACTTACAGCCATATTTCTTGTTTGTTTTTTATTGGCCGCAGTGTAGTTTTGACTAGGTTTTACTTAATTTTCAGCTCCAAAATTCAGTGACATTCAACAAAGGAGCTGTGTGGTTGAATGGAATGCTTGTAAACCCATTGGTAGTGACCCAGTAGTATATCAAGTTCAGCTTTCACGTCTCCGAGACCAGGAATATAAACAAGTGAGTACTGAATCAGCTAATTTTCAGTAAACATTGCGCGTAAGTATAGTAAGTGACCGTGAATTAATGTCTTCTATAATTTAAAAATATTATTAAAATATATATATTAAAATTGTCCGTCAATCACAATAAAGTAATATAAGATAATTAAATGGTTAAAATATTAT